GCCTTGCTCGAGTTTAGGGTTCAGGTTTAAGGTCTAGGCTGTAGCTTTCAAGGGTTTAGGGTTTAGACTTCACGGATTTAGTGCCTACGAATCATCATCATACCACGGAGTGAAAGCAATGCCAACAATACCGAATAACTCTACGAAGTGCGGAGACAAGACCCAAAACGAAAGCTTCCAAACCCCAAACCCTGAACCCCAAGCCCTGGACAATATCTCCTACGCCCAAACCCCAAAGTGCTACACCCTAAGCCCAAACCACTACACCCTAAGCCCAAAGCAAACAGCAGCCTAGGGGTCCGCTGGCAAGCGGGTCGAAAGAGTTCTTCAGCTGTCCTGTCTGCCTGAACATGCACAAGCTGTTAGAGTCAAGATTTAAGGTTTGGATTCCTTTCAAAACTGATGAGGCCTCGTTCGAAAGGTTGTAGGGCCCTTTTTGGGGGGGGTGCCGTGTTAGCTTAAGGAGTTAGGATTTAGGGTTTGGGGTGGTCTTCAGTAAGCTTGACTTTAGCGTTGAGTAGATGGTTTAGGGTTTTTGGTTCAGGGCTTGCTCGGGGAACCCCTTTTTGAGCATTGGCATCTCAAACATCGCTCCAAAAAATGGAACCCTGATCGAGCGAAGTACCCCGATACACTCCCAAAATGAGGAGCGAAAGAATGATCATCATAGCCTCTACCTTTCCCTGTGGTGTGGAACTTTTTTCCCGAAGTTTGCACACTCACGTAAGCCTAAACCCTACCTCAAAATCTAAACCGGGGAAGGTTGGGCTTATAGCCGACGTATAAACACTCTAACTGGAGTGAGATAGATTCTCCCCATTATCTCTATGTGTACAATGTACTAACCCAGTTACATGGCCTTGTTGAATCCCGTGAGCCTAAACCCTAAAAACCCTAAGCCTCCAATCCCTAAGCCCTAAGCCAGAAGCCCATGAGCCTCACGTCAGCCTGTCACTTGCGGCAGCCGAATGTAGAGTTTGTAAAAGGTTTCTCTAATCCACCGTCACCGCATGGAAATCATTGATACGGTTAACGGGATTCCCCAACCATTAATTGAGACCACGGGTTTCGCATGTTTTTGTTTCAGGACGCCTGTATATGGAAGATTCCCGAAATAGGGATCTTCCTTATATACGATAATCCTCAATATTAGGACGCCCAAAATGGAACCCTTCACTTTTGGAACCTCCCGTGTTTCTAAGAAACCCGAAGCTGGCATACGATCACCTAGATCTCAAAGGGCTCAAAAGGTGGGACGAAGGAAGGTGGGGTATAGGAAATAAGCTCCAATATAGTAGAGTATGTACTAAGGATCCTTTAACCCACCTACCTTCATCCCACCTTTTGAGACCGCTGAATCCCCCTGATAGATTTGAATGGAAATCTCTTTCTACCCCCAGCCGCGCCCAAACACCAACTGATTAGTGTATGTACCGCGTAGCATGTGAAAGTAGGCTTCCTGTTACATGCAGGGGCTTCTCGCACAAATCGGCCCCTGAAACAG